TTTTCTTACTCGCCACACAACCCCTTTGTGACATCATTGCGTATTCTAAATCACCATAACCTTTACCTTTACCAATACGTGCACCAGTTATTGGATTAACAACAACTGATGCAACAATGATTAAATCAACATGAATTTGTTTTAATGCTTGTAATTGTATAACAGTACCTAATTCAGCAGCACCAGTTTTTGTTGCTGCCCATTCTAATTGACTACGACGTAAAAATTTTGGTTCTAATTTATAAAATAATGCTGAATCTGAAGAAAAGCAAAAGAAGAATAAATAATAAAATTTTAATTTGGGGGAGGGGGAGAGAAGGATTTTCATTTGTTAAGCTTTACTAACCAAGTGAAGGTGTAGGTGTCAATAGTACTTTATTATACGCTAATGATAAATAACGAAGAGATTCTTGAGCAAGCGATGGATTAATTTTAATGACACGTGCTCGTTTAAAATATTCTAGACAGGTTACATTTTCAGAAGCTACTTCAGAATAACGAAAATTTGGTATACGACCATGAACTGGACGAGGAAAACGAACTTCATTTCTATGAAAAAAAAAATCGTTAATAATAATCATAGACATGTATGAGTTTTTTTTTAAATTCTTACTTCATTTCCATTAAATCCCAAACAAGTTGTCGTGCTCGTGCTTTAAATAATTTAATATTTGTTGTTGTCATTATTGATGATTCAGATTTGGCTAATTTTAATTCAAGTATTTTTGATTCATTTCGTTGTTTAACCCAAAGAATCATTTTCGAAAAAATTTCCATAATAATTTTATTTTTAAGTGTATGATTACATGTTATTAAACCATCTACAATATCTCGTATACATATCCATTGATGAATATATTGTCGATGTTGAGGACGCATTTTATGAGCATATTTTGTTGGTGTTCGTTGAATATTATTATTATTATTTTCTTCATTATTTGCTTTTTGCGTTACTGATTCATCATATGTAAGTAAATTTGAATAACCAATAGCATTACATATAACTGATGAATGACAATCGACGTCGAGAGCACAAACTAAACAAGATATTAACTTTAATTATTTTAATTTTTGACTTAAAGGTAAATTTAGAATATAGTTTTTATATAAAACTTATTATCACAGATGGTCAATGATTTATTTGATCTATAAACAATATCAGTCGAACTAAATATGAATCTATCATAGAATTAATTTTATTATCATATCAAAGATGAAGACGAAACAGATGTTAAATATCTCAGCCCGCCTTCGCTTTCACAGGCCGTGAGAAATATTGGCACTTATATAGAGATGTGAATTTTTAGTTTACTGATTGACGACTCTGTGTAGTTAGTGCACAATGACATCAGTGTTCACTGAAGCATTGGAGTACAGTACTACAAAAAGAACATATTTTGGTAGAGTTAGCATCTAAAACTTACAGCGAACACGAATGAAGTGTAATCAATATCTTAATAGAGTCCATGTTGATGCATCACTGTTTAGTATCTACATGAACACGGCACATTTCTACACTCATCGCTATGTTTCAGGTGATGATGTCGACTTCAAGTTCATATCTAAAGACTAGCTCCTGTATTGAACACTCATAATGCTATTCCCTATGGTGTTCATTTAATAGTAGAGTTACTACGTTTTTCGTATGTTTACTTCTCTATTTAGTAGACAGGCAATAAGTTAATTGAAATTATTTTTGGAAGCAGTAATACGACTGTTACACTTCGTTAATACCTGGTTCTCATGAATAACGAGCAGAACTCCTTTTGAGTATATGAATGTGAGTCTTTTCTTCGGAAATATCCATATTTACACCCATACGCTAGTTTTATTTTTCAGATATTGTTGTTTATTTTTTGAATTAATAAGATATTTATTATTTCATTAATGACTTTTACCTATTAATTCAATAAATTTATATATTCTACTTATAATCAATAAGAATTCTGTTCGTTATTCATGAGAAGCAAGTAACGCGATAGCAACTATCTGGTGTTCAACAGTCGTAGATTCTTCGAAGCAAATGCACATCGCATTTCAAAAACGATAAATAAGACCTTAGTATTTTATATTCGAAAAATATATTCTTATTGTTTTCAATTAAATGAGGTGAATTATGAGCGATATTAGTAAATTGAACTTACCACACAAATCTGATGTTGGACCAGTTGAATAAAACATACAACGATGTTTAAAATCTAATCGTTGTTCAATCATTGTTAAAAGTGGATCATTCGAGTTTGTATTTGTTGATGTTGATGAACAAGATAATGCACGTCGACTACATGTTTCTTCAGTGTTTGATGTTGGACTATTATCTGTCACTGTTGTTATTGAACCAGTTGATGTTATACTTGATGAATTTAATGACATTTGTTTCATTATTGTTGGTCGATCGATATCAAGTAAAGCACATAGAAAATCGGATGAATATATTACATCACATACAGCTCTTTGTGAACCATGTCTTGATATTTCAACTTCATATGGTGATAAAAAATAACGATCTTTTTTATGTGAAAAATTATAATAAAGTAAAACATGTGGAAATTCTTCAATCATTGTCACCGGAAAAAACATGAGCTTCATGTTACGGATATTCAATGATCGAATATTAATATTATTTTAAATTTTTTTATGTTAATTGTTTTTCACATCTAAAAATCAATAGAAAATGAAAAAGACGAAGAAAATGTTATTTACTTTTTTTTCTCTTATAGAGGTCTACTACTTATTTTTTTTTTTCTTTGATAAAAATACGAAATAAAAGAAACATACATATTACATACAAATAAAAAACAAACGTTCGAAGAATCACAAAACTATCTTATATATATATATCATTTCAATAAAATAAAGAGGAATCCGGTTATCAACTGAAAAACAGAAGAATTGTTTTTTTTTTTCTTATTTTTTTGTTTCATATAGATTTAAAATTTCTCATAAAAATACATTTACATGTTGCAATAGATGATGGAATAAGAAATGTTTAATAGAAGAAAAAAGAAATATACGTAATAGTACAGGGTGGCGCAAACGTCAGTTTACCCAAAAAAAATTGAGTATCTCCATTACGATTCGAGCAAACGAGCTGATTTTTTTATCAGTGATAGAGGCATGTACCAAATTTATATCCATAAAGACATGCCTAGAGAAACCCTTTGTTAAGTATATTGTTTTTTCTCCTATCTGTCAAAAAGTAAAACTTTTTTTGTTGAGATCAATAGTGATACTTAACAAAGAGTCTCTCTAGGCGTGTCTTTATGGATATGAAGCTTGAACATGCTTCTATTATTGGTAAAAAAATCAACTTGTTTGCTCGAGCCGTAGTGGAGATATTCAATTTTTATTTTGATAAACTGACTTTGGGGCAATCCTGTATATAGCTCGAAAGTGACGATACCAAGAGAAAACTAAATATCTCCGCTACGGCTCGCGCAAACGGACTGATTTTTTTACCAATAATAGAAGCATGTTCACACTTTAAATCCATATGGACAAGATTAGAGAGAGCATTTATAAAGTACCACTAATGACCTCAACAAAATAATTTTACTTTTTTCACAGATAGAATAGAAAACAATATACTTAACAAAGAGTTTCTCTAGGCATGTCTTTATGGATATACAGCTTGAACATGCCTCTATCATTGATAAAAGAATCAGTTCGTTAGCTCGAACCGTAATTGAGATATTCAATTTTTTTTGGGTAAACTGACTTTTGCGCCACCCTATATATGTCCATTTACCAATTACTTGTTAAAAAATGGACAAGATTTTTAATATCTAATTGAAGTGATGGACTTAAATCATATTTAAATGACTTAAATTGACTAAAATTTTTAATATGTAAAATCAATTCAAATAGACAACGTTCTTTAAGTGTTAAAACCCATCTAGAATGTGTTAAATTTAATTTTATACATAAATGTATAATATCATCAATTCGAATTGATGATGTTTTCATTGTTGGTGATAATAATAATAATGTTGAAGAATTCATTCGTATTTTAGAATTTTTTAATGAAGAATTTATTGAGTAAAATGGATGTTCAATTAATGATTGTAATGATATACGTTTATCATATTGAAATTGAAATATTTCTTTTAATAAATCAAATAAATATTCTTTTTTATGAAGATGATGTTCATGAAAATTAATTCTTTCTTGATTAAATATTTGTTTTAATAAACAATGAAGACGTTGTTGATGACAATCAAATTTTATTTTTGAAAATAATTGTTTTACATGTAATGGAAAATTTTCATACAATGATAATGTTAAACCACCAACATATTGAACAATACATAAGAGTTGTAATGATGGATCATCATTTGATGGACGAAATAATATTGTTTTTATCATCATTTCAACAATTATACAACCTATTGACCAAACATCTTCTTTCGAATTATCAATTGTTTTATTGCTAGATGAAGATTAGAATTAATTAATTTCAAAAAAGATTTCAGATAAATTCTTTTGAAATTCGATATAAATTTTATTTATCAGTAACACGAGAAGACTTTCGCAATCAAATAGTTCAAGTGATAAATAGAGATTATTATATAGAGTGTACTACAATGGATTAGGACAAAATAAAATGAGAGGCATTGCCACTTCCATAAATTCTTATTAATTTAGAATTGAATTTTATAAAATAATATGTGCGTCTTCTCAAAAGAATACTTGAGTGAAGTATTGAAAAACTTTTTGTTGTATTCACTATGTCTATTCAGGTTAAATCAAAACTGAGAATTGTTTGATTACAGAGAAAATATTTATATTTCAATAGACTTTTAAGTGACATACAGGGTGACCCAAAAATGACTTTACCAAGAAAAAAAATGAATAGTTCCGTTATGACTCGAGCAAACAGGCTGATTTTTTTTACCAATAATAGAGACATGTTGACACTGTAAATTCATACGGACAAGGTTAGAGAGAGCCTTTGCTAAGTAATACTATTAACTCGAATAAAAAAAAATTAATTTTTTTACAGACAGAAGAAAAGAAACAATATACTATGAAGACAAGCGAGTTTACCAAGAAAAAGTGTAATCCATCAAATGAACTTGTGACGACACATGTTGTGTAGTCATATAGATTTTCTTTTTGTATTTTTCTTATTCTGCTTTGCTATAGTTCACACGATGCAATTTTTTTTTCTTTTTCTATATCATGGTTATATTCATCTATCGTTGCTGATTACGTTTGTTTTGCGTATTGTAAGTAAGTCTTGTTCTTGTCTGTTCTTTATTTGCTAACCTATATTTATCATGTAACCCTTATTTTGAGCTCATATGTTTGCAGATGTCAAAATTCATGACAAAAGAACAAAGAACTTTTTTGTCATCAAATATTGATGGATATCAGGAAGGGCATGACAAACAGTAAATGCAGTTTTTCTTAATGAATATCCTGATCATAAAATCTATTTGAGTATACAACACGTGTTAGTCACAAGTTCATTTGATTGATCATATTGTTTCTTGATAAACTAGCACTTCTTCATAGAGCATTGTTTTTTTCTATCTATGAAAAAGTAAAATATTTTGTTCGAGTCAATAGTGGTACTTAACAAAGACTCTCTCTAACTTTGTCTGTATGAATTTAAAGTGTGAACATGTCTCTATTATTGATAGAAAAAATAGAATAATTGTCAAAGATTGTTTGTTTAGAAATTTATTTCTTATTAAAAGTGAATTATATCAACAAGTAAACCTAGAAAAAATATTGGTATCTCGTTCTGTAATGTTTGTGGTTGTCTACTCAATATTACGTTCATCAAATGGGCCAAGGAAATAAAAAGAACAATCATTTCACTTACTTAGCACAAGCGTCTTGATCGATTATCATTCGAATTAAACTTTCAGGTGCATGTCGCCATAAATGATGATGCTGTACAATACCACCATTAAGTTTTGTTGTTGATATTGTCGGTGAACATAGACGTATACGATCATCACATGCTAATTCAATATTTGTTGTATACCTTATATTGTTTAAAAAACATAGAAACTAATTAAGATAATTCTTATTTAAAACTAGTTTAAAAAAATAAAATACCATGGTGTTAATGGACAAAGACCTTTTGATTGTAAATAAATCGTTCCATGAATTATTTGTAATGACAAACGATAAATACGTTCTAATGAAAATGTTTCAGATTGAATTGCATCACGTAATGTTCTATGTATAACACTCGTTACTGAATAGAGACATGCATCAGCAATATACCAAGATAATATTCGACGAACATTTGGATGTGATAAATTACTTGTTATAGCAATACGTTCATATAGATGATTTCTATATTGTTGAGTAGTTGTTTTTGATTTTAGACATAGGTATTTTGTTATATGAACGGTTCGTTTTAATATTGGATCAATTGCATTTACAGATGGACTATCAATACCACCTAAATGAAAAATAATCGTTGAAAATCAATTTGAACTTTTCGAATAGGTTTTTATGTATAATAATTTTAAATTCTCATATCAATTTTTATGTTTCAATCACAAACTTTACTTGAATATATTTGAATATACTTTTTAAATAAACTGAAGAATTTTCAAAGTATTTAAATAGATAAAATAATTTATAAGTAGTAATTATATTATTTTTTTAGGTAAAAGAAAAAATTATGATGGTTGCCACTTATCAAGATTCTTTAGGAAGCTACTTTATGGAAAAGAATTACCATGAAATAAAGAAGTAGATGTTAAATCTTGTTGCGTTATATATTCACGAGGAATTGTAAATGAAAAATTAACATCTGTATCATGATTATCGTTATTTTGTTGTTGAGCAATTGAATATTGTTTAAAACGAGATGTCCTAAAATGTATTTCAAAGAAAAAAAAGGATTTATTATTAATTTAATTAAATATTTCGTTAATTATATCTAAGTATGTTATTTCTGCTGGCGGTGTCAGGATTTTTCATTAGAATAGGCTGAGTTCACCCAGAGTTTTTATGGCCGGCAAATGACAAAGAAGTATTTTCTTCTTAATCTCTTCTCCCTTACACACGGCAAAATTAAACGAAAATTACAGTTGAACTTTGATAGAAATATGAGTGCTGAATTCAGCGATTAACTTAGGAGAGAATGTAAAAGAAGGATTACTCCATTTTCGAAAATTTCTCTCGATTTTCCACAACATCATCGAGTGAAAAGTAGCTGCATATTACCTCATATAAGCTTCAAAAAGCATCTTTCTTGTATAATCGATCTTCTCTTTCAGTAAACTTCCCATTGTTCTCTTACCAACATCTCAGATCCGCCATTGCCGTGATTATTAAAGAGAACTAATTATCTTTTTCCTTTCTCAAGTCTGAAATCAAAGACATTTCTTCGAAGATAGTCGATTCATGAATTCATATTTCTTGCTAGGTGACCTTCGATTTATACCTTCTATCATACATTATTGAAAAACAATGTCACCAACGTGATCAGATGTGTCGACCAAAATACTAATCAGGCACTAGTTTTCGAATATAATAATTCATTAAACTTCATGTCGAATATGTTGTCTCTTCTTTAGATAACTAATAACTTCAGTATTGTTCTGAGAGATACTATTATTATTCAGATAACATCTGAATATGCACCTGGCATCGATAGATTTTCATTTGAATATTGAAGTACATGAGAAACGGTTCAGAATTAAACATTGATTTAATTAAAATAAACCTGTTTACAATGCGTTGTATCTCGTTTATGTAATTAAAACGCTGTCTTACAAATATCATTACTAAAAACTTTCTACGGTGGGCTCAACTAAGTTTTGGGTGGACTAAGCCCACTCCTAGTGCTCCCACTAAATATTTCTTTAACTAAGCTCTAACAATTCTACATTTTATGGTTAATTAAATAATATTTGCTGTTATTAAACTGTCTCATTGGAATATTCATGAAGGAAGTTTCACCAGTAATAAATCATTTTTCAGTTGAGACTATGGCATTATGTAGATTCAAATGAGTTATGAATACACCCTGCAAAGAGTTCGTATCTTTAGATTAGTGCTGCAAAGATGCTGTACTTTTATGCTAGTTTTTAAAAAGAATGTCATGGTCCCATTCGGAAAATTTTGATTTTCGATCTGAAACTTTGAATAGAGAATAGGCCTTAACAAGATTAGTTTCTTGTGCAAGTTTAAGATCTTTTCAATGTTCTCATTCTAAGATTCAGCTATGACAAAAGCGGATCTTCTACATCGCTCATATAAAACGAAACGGCAGTTCTGATATGCTTATTTCACGATGGAACCAAATCAATGACTTGAAACTTTCACAATAAGTTATTCTCATGAAGGCCTGTTTCTTTACAAAACTTTGAAGTCAAAATTCGAGAACCAGTTTACTTAGTGTTCCTGAGGGATGCCGCAAAATTCGCTTTAAAAAATACCGTAAGAATGTAGTATCTGCGCTGGAATAAGATAAGAGCACGAACTCTTTTCCACACATTCATAACTTATTTGAGTCAAAATAATGTACATAGTCTTGACTCAAAAGCAATTAATCACTTAGGAAGGCTTCATTCGTCAGTATATTGTTTTTATTCGATTAGATATTCATTAAATTACCAAAGTATTTGTTTTTAGTCAATGTATTATATGGAGTGTGTGTAAATAAACATTATTTTCTAATTACCACTATTATTTCGAATACAAAAAAGATAAGACTATTTCGAAATCATGCATAAAAAATTGAAATCAATATGAATATTTTAAACGATTATTTACAATGAAAAAACAAAAATTTTCAACGAAACTTTTTTTTTTGTTTATATACATTATGCTATGAATGATTTAGTAAACAATACTTGTAACTCACCACATGATTCTAATAGAATGAATAATCACATGTCAGTCGTCGACTATGAAATCTACAATAAGTAAACATAAATTTAAAAAAATCTAAAGAATCATTAATAATTAATATATTTGAGAATTTTTTATTTAATTTAAAAGAAAAACGTTATCCTTATTTAATAACTAATCATTCTTAATTCCGAATTTCTCTTTAACCTGGTTTGTATTTGTTTTCAATTAGACAACCTTCTTAAACGTAAATATCATGCTAAAGTTCCTTAGAAATTTTTTCAATTACGAAAGTTTTCATCTTAACGAAAACAAAAATTAAAATCAAATAAGATCACACATATTTTTATTCAATATATAATCATCGAACAATAATTATGAGCATGAGAAACAAACAAAAAGGGTTTTCAAATTCATCAATGATAAAATTCCATCATGGTTAAAAAAACTAAAGATCAATCTAAACACATTACATGACGAATAATGATCAAGGAAAATATATAATATCTGTATTTAAAATGGAATAAGAAAGTAAAGAATATAATCATTTTTTTCCACAACAAATAACATCAGTGAGATATATAACACAGACGTTAAAACATTCTATGTCCACATAGAAATAAAGATAAAGATTTCTAAAAAAACAACATCAACTATTGCAAAGAAGAAGAAAAAAGAAATGCAAAGAAATTTTTTATATGCACATAAATTGACTGTTCAAAAACATAAAAGTGCGAAACAAAAGATTGCACATGAAAAACTCTACAACATTCTCTTTGTATAAATATCTGGAATAAATAAAATGTCGGGGAGAGAAAATTTCTACTAAATTTCTTTTTTGTTTTGGCACAAATCAATGACATAGATTTTGTTTTTTGCTCATTACTAAAACATAAGTTTACAGTCGATTGACATAAAAGAATAAGTTGTGCTACAGTCAATAAAGAATAAAAAATATGAATAATAATAAAGAATCACATATAGATAAATGAATAAACATGAAAAAGAAGAAAATAGATCCTTTTCTTTATACATGACAGAAGAAAAGAAATGATAATATCAATAAAATAAATAATATGCTGTTCAAATTCAATTCCGTTGTGGAACCGGTGGTCGTTCTAATGGTCGTGGTGGAACACTTGGTGTTGAACGTCTAAAGCAAATAATTCAATAATATAAACATTATTAAAATACAAATATAATCATCTGTGCAGTAACAATCAATAAAGCAAAAGTTAAGAAGTGCACACAAATTTAAAGATTCAATGATGATAACAATAATCATTTTATTTTTTGTCTTGGAAAAACTTACATTGGTGTTAAAGGTGTTAAAGGTGCTGGTAAATTCCCTAGCTGTGGACTGGCTCTACCTTGTTGATTCATTGCTGGTCTGCAAAAATAAGAGAAACATTGATCAACAAGTACCATATGTTATTACGAAAGATGAGTAGAACATGCACTTGAGTAAGAAATTCAATCGTTTAGTCATGCTTTTAAAAAAAGCTGTTAGTACAATCTCTACAGGATTAAAATGTGAAACAAGATATAGCTGCTTCTCTTAATCACAGAAGGATTGTTTTATTTTATTAAAATTTTAGAACACATTTCTTTACCATTATTTTACTTAATCCTTCAGAAATATATACCAAGGAACTAGTTCATATATGATAACGAGACACCATTGAAATACGGTCTGTGATCATATGTCAATGTCTGCCATAATCTGTTGGTGAAGGTTCATATTTTTACCTCTATACATCAACACTTCTTTTAGATCGTGCTTCACAACAGAAAAGCTAGTCTATGCGTAAAAAGGTTAGTTTTCAATGTTCAATTGTTTTAGTTTTTGACTAATCTAGACTTACGATGGTATTGCAGAGGTTATAACACCATTCTGATAGGAAGATAAAGATGATATAGGTGTAGCAAAAGGATCTAATCCAGTAAATAGATTAGATGATGTCATTGTATGCTGAGCTGGTCTGCAAGAGTATAAATTGACGTGTATAATAGTACTTTTATGTTAAATCAAGCATATAAAAAGTTTAAAAGTTTTTTTTATCGAATATTTTAGCTTAGAAAATTTTCATTTTATACTATTCTTTATTTGCCAATATTTCATTTAATTCTGTAAATATATTTGACTGAAACTTTATAGGCTTGATAATAATTTTGAATAGATAAATATATTAGACTTGATTTTTAAAAAATAAAAAAAAATAAAAACGCAAGCAAATGCTAAAAACCTCGAATGATTACATACTGAGACATCATGTGTGCAGGTAAAGTTGTCATATTTCCACCAGTTGGATTAGGTACTAAATTTGGTCGCATTGGTGGATCACGCGTTCCAAATGCATTTGGATTTGCATACATAGGCGCTGGTTGTCTCCATTGTTGTGTATTTGATGGAAAATTAGGTGATGGTGCAAAATTATTATTCATTTGAGTATTCACTGTTGCACTAGAAACACCAGCAGCTAATACAGATACTGACATAACTGATCCAGCTACTTTTCGAGCATTAGCATGAAAATTTTCGATGATATTTAAAGCCTAAAAAATGATTTTATTTCAAAAAAAAAAAGAAAAATATTTTTTTTATTATACAAACACTTTTAACAGCTTCGTATTCGGCTATTTTAGTTTCTCGACGTTGTCGTTCTTCTTCTGATTCTTGTAATAATGATTTCTAAAATATAATAATTTATCATTTTTTTTTTAAATTTTATAATAAATCTTACTGGATCAGGAAGTGCATAAAGATGTGCTAATAATTCTTTTGCTACAAATTTTTGCACCTTAAATAGAAGAACGAATAATTAATTGAAAAACTAACAAAGGAAGTCCTTCAACTAGTACATTGCTTTTGAGTCGAGACTGTTTATTATTTAGATCCAAACGATTTATGAATACTCTAAAAAGAGTTCGTGTCTTTAGAATTATTGCTGCGGAGATATTGCACTTTTATGATATTTTTTAAATAAATGTCGTAGTTCTACTCAGAGAATTTATTTTGGAATTTCGACTTGAAACTTTTTACAAGCTTTAATGGGAATAGCTTTTTCTTTGTAAGCTTCAGATCTTGTTGCTATTCCTATCTAAGATACAACTATAGTAATCGAGAGGGAATAGCAGACCTCATAAGATATTAACCCTTCGTTAATCACTGAAACGACCACTTATAGAACGATTCCAGAAAATAAAAGAAGCATTGACTTTAAAAACGATAAGAACAGTTTTTTTGTTGTATTGAACTTCGTGGGATATCGATTAGTAAAAACAATATTTGTTTTTTCATCACTCCGTCTTTGACATATTAGGCATACAAAATAACATGTTCTTTATCTAAACTCAATAGATTCTTCAGAATTTATGTGATAATAATCGGTAACGAAGCTCGCTAATGGGTTAGATATGTTTCGAAAGCTACACGATAACTCGACGAATTACATATACTAAAGCATACAATTGACCACGGAGTCATTATTAAACACGAGAGGACAATCAAGAACAAAATTAATATATATGTTATAAGTTTCAATTCATGAGACGTTGAAATAGTATTTTTTATTAATTGAACGTCTTGAGAAGTTATTAAATGGCATAAAGCGAAGTAGATAATTATTTAGCAAAATATGTCAAAAACAAATGTATTATTTTGGTATTAATCTTTTTCGGTTCACTTCTTCCTTTTTCTATTACTACAATAACATGGGGTAGATGTTGCTTTTCTTTACTCATTAATGTGGTTAAAGAAAAAAAAACAAAAGACGTAGTATGTCGTTAGATTCTCTTTCTCCACCACTCGGTTACTAGACCAATCAAACGACTTTTTGCATAAAGAGGTGAACACTCGATAGATCAGGTTACATCACCCATATAAACTGATGGATTTCATATTCTTATTTCACGATAGAAAAACAATTGTAACTTTCGCAATAAGTTATTCTCATTAAAATCTGTTTCTGTTCAACGCTTCAAATCGAAATTTTAAAAGTAGTTGTCCTTTTACTAGGACATTCATTTAAAAAATATCATAAAAATGCAGTATCTCCGCAGCAATAATCTAACGACACAAACTCTTCTCAAAATAATTCATAATTTATTTGGGTCTATATATAATGCATATAGTCTCAATTCAATAGCGATTTGTTAGTAGAAGAACTTTCCTTATAAGATAAAACATACATTTTGAACAATATTATACATAATTGCTTTTGGAATATAATCACGCGTCATTTTAGCAACTATTTGCATATATGATGATACTAATTTATTGATTGTTTCAACTTGTCGTTCCATATGTGGATCAACTGGACCAACTTCAGCTGCTACCTATGAAGTTTAAAATAAAAATCATTTAGAAAAACAAAATTTATCCTTCTTTTTTTTAATTACTTGTGGATCTTCTGGTGGTTGTTCACGTTNCCAAAGAAACATTTCTAGCGCTTGACGATAAATGAAATTCGTCAGTCTACTAATTTTGAAAAAACAACATTGATAGCATATTTCATTATTTGTTTATTACAAATTTGTTCGTTAGTATTATATTCTTTACTCAAAAATAAAAACAAAATAAAATAAATATTTTAGCATAAGAATGTAAAATTTAGTTAAAAGACTTCTTATTATTTTAAAAATAAAAATAAAACAATAATATTTATACAATAAAAGATATTTAAAAAAAAAATTAACTATTTAGTAGTAGTTTTTTTGTGGTTTTCGCTGGCCATAGAACAGTTTCTATGCCTGCTGGAACTGTCATTGGCATATGATCAGGAATTAAAATTGGTATGCATTCTGTGATACGATTGTCACTTTCATCAGGAATGTTTTTCGTTACTACATATAAAATACAATTAAGAATTAACGGAATAACTCCAAGTCCAGCAGCTAGAAGTAATGTAAAATTTCTTGAATAACTAATTGTAATTGAATATAAATAATTAAAAAATGAATTTCCAAAAACATTTAATATTGTATTAATTTCTGTAACAAATGTATAAGCATTATTTATTTCATTTGGTTCTAACCATTTTGATATTATCGAATATGTTAATGAACCTTGATATGAAGTAAATGGTGCTATAAATAGACCTATATACAATTGCCAATTATAATACGCTTGAGATACCCATAAAGCTGATACAATAAAAAACATATGTGATATACAACAAATAGCAGCATCACTAAAATGTGTATATGAAAAAAATTTCAATCCAACAACACTTCCAATACTCCAAATAATAGATGATACTGTATTATAATAACCAATTTCTTTAGCTGAAAGAAAAAAAGAAAAAGCAAAAATTTTTATCGAATTTTACTTTTTATTTTCTTGTTGTAAAAACGTTAATTTACCCGACCAACAAAATGGATAATTAAGTTGAAACCAAAGAAATGGAACACCAAATGATAATGATGCTAAACAATGAAAAATAAATGCTATGAGTGTTATAATTAAACTCATTGATCGTTTTCGTGAACGATATGTATGTCGTGGTGAAAAAACCATACATATTTGTATTAATTGATTATATTTTGTATTTCTATTTGTATTATGACTATAATCATGTGAATTTATTGATACAACAGGTAGAAGTAATTGAGGTTTCATATAATGATAAACAATAATTATTGTTAATAATTGAATAAATAAAGCTGTCCAATAAAGATCAAGAAAACCACGATATTCAATCCAAAATCCGACTAGAAGTGAAGCTATTGCACCAACAGCTGTACATATAGCACCAATATAAAGAAATTTTGATGTTCTTTCTGATTTTTCTGTACTATCAGTAATGATTAAATTTAGAATAAAACTTGAAACATTACCACCACCAGCTAAACTTGATAAAAATGCTGCTATATGCCACCAATAATCTGGCAACTATTAATAAGAAGAAAACACAAATAATATGATATTTACTTTTTTTTTGTTTTGTTTATTTTTAAACATACTTCATAATATATAATAAATAACCAAATAGAATATTGCAAAACATTACCGAACATAGTTAAAATAAGAACAAATTTTCGACCAAGTTGATGTGTATATAAACCCAATATATAAGTCATAACAATAGTAGGTACACTTGATGCTACCGTTTGATAGAAAAATAAATTTGAAGATTTTTTTTGAGCCCATTGTTGAGCTGATGCTGACGTTGATTGATCTTTACATTGACCAAGTTCATGTTGTATTATTGTAGAATTGGTATTCGACAATAAAGATGGATAAGGATAAAGATCAGTTCTTGAAGAGTATGATGTAAGATAATAACTATAAATATATTGACCAATTGATGCAGCCAAACAATAATAAATTGTCTAAAATAATTGTTTTTTCTATTTAAAAAAGTATTTTAAATCGGAAATAAATATCTTACTTGTAAACATAGGATAACTTCGATTAGATGTGAATGAAATAAACGATGCAATGAAAAACAAAATAAAAAGCGCATACTGACTTTTTGGATGAATAATTTGATAAAATTATTCGTTGGTGAGTTTTATATAGATTCTTTTTATTTTGAGAAAATAAAATCCTTTTTTGAAAAGAAACTGTTTATCTCTTTAGATCTAGTTGATTCATCACTTATTACCAATGTTATAATTGTATTATATACCCACTCACTCTCTCTATTTGACATTCAGTGTTTGTCATAATTCCTGAGAATATGATCGGACACACACATACATAAATACTAATCCATCAAGGCAATGCAATACGCTATCATTTTCACAAATCATTACTGAACATTTATAATTTATCGAGTCGTTAACAAAATTGTTATAGATGGCGTACAAAGTATGTGTAAAATAGGGAAGAAGGAATTTTTCGTCAAATATATAAACTATTATCGGAATTTTAAAAGAAGACCATTAGGNATGTAAAACACTTGTTACAGCTTCAGTTGCTATTTTGTTTTGCATTTGAGGAATTAAATCAGTTATCATTTTTCTAATAGTTTGTAAATGTGTTTTAAGAAAAGTACTTAATTTTGAAATTAATTGTCTAAATTGAGTTGCTAAATTACCATTAAGAAAACTTTGAAGAATTTCAAGCATTGATTGTTGAAAAGAAAGTTTAAATGATTGAAGTTCACTCAGAAGACTTAATCGAGCATCATTTTCTAAATCACGTTTACCAAGTGCTGGAACTTTATCACCAATCCATGATGTTACACTATAAATAGCACCTGAAACTGCATTTGTAACAGTAGAATGAATATTTGAAATTGTACCAATAGCTGAATCGATATGTTCAGCAATTGGACCAACTACTGGACTTATGAAGTCCCATATATCCATAAGTCCACGTTGTTCTGCCAGAGGAATACTAGTGCTAAAAGCACCATGGAGTTGAGCAATAATTAAAACAATAAGAATAAGTTTCATGCTTTTAATATTCGTAAATGTGTTTTTCCATTTGGAAAGACACAGCTTTTTAAGTATAACTAACAGATGGATTTATTTCTCATAGTTTTATTTTATCAATTTAGTTAGCACTTGGTTGCTATGACATGTGTGATGCTATAAGGCTTCAAGTGCATAATCAATACGCCAATAATATGATGTCTGCTCTTGAAGAAACTGCTAACAAAAAAATCAGGTGATTATTGTGTGCATATGTCAGTTAAAGAATATTTAAATAATGCACTTAAAGCAATTAATTTTACTGTACAACTTTATCTCATTTTTTCACCTAACTTATTGTTATATAAAATTTGAGTCTTCGTTTGATAGAAGTGTAATTTTCGAAGAATCATAAAAAAATGAATTAGCAACTGATGAATATTTATTTGTTTCTGATGTGGGTGTAGCTAGCTTTGTGTAGGTGAGCTTGAAGTTAAAATTTTGGCTCTCGTATACTTACGGGGGAACTACTCGAACTGAAGCTCACCATCTGAGTTCATGTTGCGTCTACAAGGATGCCTTAGTGGAACTAACAGAAGCCTAAAAGTATTTGTGTCCATGGGTCTTTGAAATCAAGTTCCAATTGTTTTACTAAATTTTTTATCTACTTTTAAGTATATGCTGAAAAATCAAAAAAACCTATTTCTACGTTAAATTTTGCCCATAAATAAGTCGAGTGACTAGTAGACTGTCCTAAAAGTTTCTGTCGAAGAGAGTGCTCCTTTGTTAAGGTATTAAATTCTCAAATAAGCTCGACTGTTGCGACATGTCTTTGTCAAACGACTACTTCTTGGAAATTTAATACCTCAACAAATAAACATTCTTTTCGGCATAAACTTTTACGATATTCTACTTGCCATTAGACCTATTCATGGACAAAACTTAACGTCGAAGTGTTGATTTTCGAATTTTCAGCTTATACCTAAAAGTAGATTCGAAATAGTCTTTGTAGGCGGCCCAATATGAGCTCAAATAGTGGTTATCAGTTCGAGTGATTTCCTCGTCCAATACTCACATGCTAGACTAAACCGTGATGGACATAGACTTTTGTCTCTCTTTATTCTAGAATTCTATACGCTTACATTGTACTTTAGTCATAATTTCATACTGTGAAGCTGATCGTATGATAGTTAGTGATCAATATGTGTTTTCAATTTTATCTTTCGTCTTGAAATAGAGTCAATTGCATTGCTCAATCAAAGCTGTATCAGTAAACAACTTATTAGAAATATTTATTCACATATGTAAAAACGATAAGTTCAATAATTTCAAATTCGTTTATTCTGTACTACTCAAATTCGTACAGTATATGACAACAACAGATTTACAAAAAAAAATTGATCTTCAATGATTTTTATTTTAAGCTAATCAATGAACACTAGATAATCGCACTTAATTTATTTTCATTATCGAAAAATTTCTGTCGCTACAAACCTCAATTCGAAAATTTTGTGAAAACTGGTTGAATACATAAATCAAGTGTCACTTATATGCTTCAATGATGATGAAATAGATGAAAATGCATCTAATAAATCAAGAACGTTCTATGTAAAAAGAATACTGAAGCAAATAGATATGCTTATCAACATAATAATGATGAGAAAGTTGGATCGAATAATGTCTATGAAAGATACTTGGGAAAGTAAACAAAGGCAACATTGAATTATTTTAACTCTAAAAATAATTTTATCTTTTATATTTTGATCACGTTTCTTAAATCATCATATAATCTTCAATCATTAAACCATTCCAAAAAAAGTCAAACGTTGAAGAAGGAACACCTTCTCTATAAATAGTTATTTCTGATCTTTTTTCTTATTAAATTTGTGTTCTCTTTAACAAAAAAGACAATGTCTATTGTTTCATTGAACAGAAATTTCTCATCAAAAATTATACTTATAATAAATATCAGTTAATCGACTACGTATCAATGAAGAATATTCATATATTTGACAAGAATTTATTCAAGTTAATGACTATTGTACGCATGATACATCTCCAGGTCAAACAATACAGTACGTAAACATGTCGTATTCGACCATCGTATACACTTTGCATTTGTATCGTTTTATGAAAGTGCCGTCTGCACGAGCTGTTCAGGTGCTGTAACGACACCGTATTTACGTCGTGTTGTTAAACTGCTTAAGCTTCAGAATTAGCTACCATGTAATCGTAGACAACCAATAGGTACTCTTAAGTTCTATCTAAGGCTATTAAAGTTTCATAACCTAATGTGTCTACTAGCCACTTTCTATTAAAAATATTCATATATATTTGTTTTCTATTAAAATAGCCTTTTCTGTTAATACGAAGTCTCATTTAACTTTTTGAGTGGTTTGTAAAGATTGACCGACAACTTCTATTTGGATCTATCTGCTGGACTCAACTTTGTCGTTTAAAAATACATATGAACTATGTTTTGTGGCTGTCAATTTAAAATAAATATCTTTTTTTTATTTGAATGAATTCCCAGACAAGTAGACAAAGATCAGCATTTATTTAGATTGATTTCCGAAACAGCTGCAAGAGGAGCAAAGGTTTAAATAAGCAAATTATATATATTTTTACGAGAGTAGAGCTTAATAGAAAGTCACTCATCTCTTTATTTAGAAAATACTCATCTAGATACGAACGTAATCGTGCCGTATACGATCGTTTATGGTACGTATATGGGCTTTGAATCAAAGTAGCTAGACTTCCACATAATAAATTAACTTTATTTACATGTTGGCAGTCATTACCTTGATAATTAAATAATAAACATGTTTGACATCCAGGTATATTTGAATGGTATTATAAAATATGTTTGGGCATGAAAATTTACTAATCATGTATTATTCGATTTTATTGTTAGTGATGATGATACTGATTGAAAGCTTTATGGAAATAAATGTAATCCACATGTAAATTCAGTTATTACTGCATTTCATCACATTATGCAAGTACTGTAGATGCTTATTTTCGATCTAATCTTTGAAACTCTATAATTGCATTATTGAATTCTCGTGAAGTTTTTTGATCAACACTTGAATGATATCACATATCAATTTAAAAAAAACAGTCCTATCAATCTTTTTCAAACAATATTTAACTCTTAACAGTTGAGGATGACTTTTTTGGACGATGAGAAAAAATAAACTCCTAAAATAGAGACTTTGGATGCTCAGTATGATTATATTATAGTTAAAAAAAGATAATTTTTTTTTAATAAAAATACAGGATTTTCCTCGAAAAGGATATCCGATTTTAATGGTATAAATGTATTACTTTTCTTAATTTACGTGGGAAAATTTTTTCTCTCACAAATAATTCTATTTAGTTATTTCATTTTAATAAAATATTTGCAATTTGTTAATACTCTCGCACCTTTAGTTTTATTATAGCACTATCGTATGACCTCAGTCGAGTGTCGTTAGAATAGCGTCAGGAAGTAGAATCAGGGCTATCACGAAGTGTTCAAAATTGGAGTGAAATTAGTAATTTCTTCAAAAGTGCAACGAAATATTTGGCTAATCAGGAATTTTTGTCGATTGAAGTTGCATGTAGTCGTCCTCTAATCTTACTTTGAGATAGTCCTTCGAAGGACTCAAAGTAGCTCAGAATTTTCCCACATAATACTGTAAATAGTTCTTCGATTATTGATGGGCTCATAGAAAATTTCATATTGTTTTGATCGAATGACTCTTTCAAAGGACATTCTCGTAATGACATCGCAATGAGTCAGTGGATCGTTTAGAAAGTTATTGAACAATTTTATCAGATAGCTTGATGTTCTGTTAAGCGAAATCATTCAACAAATAAAACAAAATAATTATGAGCATAGAAAGTTTTTAGAGTAAAAACTAGATTTTACAAAATTATGGATTTTAAAAACTCTGTTGCATTGTTCGACAGTCACGTGAGAGGAATTTAGTTTTTACTTTATGATTTATAATATCATCTTAGTCAGAAAGTATACTTTTTTTATATATAAAGTTTTATTATATCTACAAAAGCAATTATTGCAACGTTCCTTGGAAAGAATATAAGGTTTTTAAGAGTTAATGATAAGAAATTGATATGGTTATTGAATAATCGATAACAATTTTGTTTTTATTTAGATTACCATATTCATATAGTTCATTTTTTATTGGATAATCTTCGAACAAAGTTGTGTACATGATATGAATAAAGCTGATTATTTTCTTGATAAAACTTCATTAATCAATCTAGTAGTTTTGTTGTTGTTGTTATTATTGTATTTGAAATATAAAAGAAAAGAAATTGCGGTATTAAGATATCAATTTCAAGGAACAATAAGAAACAGGAGACTAATACCATAATAGAAAAATATTGACTAATGACCTTGGATATTGAAATATAAAAGCTCGATACGATACCTACAGATACTAATTTAGTTGGCTTTTGACATCAACATCACTTTCTTATTGACGAATATGCAGGCACTTGTTTTAGCTATTATTGTTGTTTTACTTCAACAACATATTCAACTAGCTGACGGAGGTAAAAATAAAATAGCTGTTGTTCATTTGATTTAGTTTCATATGTTTTTATAGTTACATGTGCAAGTAATCCATGTAGTCTCGTACCTGGTCAATTTGATGCATCGAATGGATATTGTTGTTATGACATTCCACCTAATTATATCGATTCTATATGTACATGTCCAAATAATGTTCAATCTGTTATTAATAGACCTTGTCGTAAGAAATCAAAAAAAGGATTTTAAAAAAAAATTTATTTGTTTCTATCGAATATAGGTACTACTTCCATACCAAATCAAGGAGTTTGTAATAGAACTTGCGTTAATGGTGGTGTATGTAATATAGTGAATGGTAGCAATGTATGTTGGTGTGGATTGGGTTTTGCAGGTTCATTTTGTGAACTTCAAGGTTAGTTATTCAAATTTTGTTTTTGTTATTTTATCTAAATATTTTATTTGAATTATTTAGGTACTCCTACTCGTTGTGCGGCTGGAGTTTGTCAAAATGGAGCTTGTATTGAACAAACTCTAGGATCCACTGTATATGCTTATTGTTACTGTAATCCAGGTTGGACAGGAATGAGATGTGACCAATGTTCGTATTTTTTTTTTGTTATTATTAAATTTCTAATTCAATATTGTTTTTGATTTTATTAGACTATTTTACATGTACACAAATAGGCGTTTTTCCTGATACTGCATTTTGTGCCATTGGTCGATATTTCTATTGTCCACAAGCATCTGGTGGTAAGTATTTCGTATAAAATTATTTATTGATGATGATATTGTTTTTATTTTAGCTCCAATTATTGCAATGTGTCCTGAGGGACAGACATTCAATCGCGCGACAAGCCAGTGTGATAGTTCCCCTAGTTGCACATAAATATAATACACAAATTATTGTTGCGTATTATATTGATACTTTAATAAAAATAACTATTATATTCAAATCTTTGAAAATCGTTTTTTTTTCTCTTATATATCCAATAAAATGACATAAAAAATAAATATATCGATCTTCTCAGTTATTATTGTCAAAAGGATTTCATTTATTTGTCATGTCATCAAATCAAAATATGATTCTTTAATAATATAATTGCCATAGTCAATAAATCTTCTTGAATTAAAAATCAAAACATTATTTTTATATATAGAAAGTAAACCTTATACCTGAAGATATTTATTCAAACTAAAACTAAAACTCAAAACATAAAATCATAAATACTGCTCGGATATTAGAGCTGTACAACAGAAAACAAAACAATCATTGTTTTTTTTTTGTTATATTATATGGAGGAGAAAATTCAAGAGAAAAGATAATAGGGAAAAAAAGTAGGTATCACAAAAAGAACAATATTAAATAAGATCATACATTTAATGTTGCTGGATTTGTTTCTTTCGTGCCTAGGTCTATCTTTTTTTTTAAATTAACTTTTTCTTGATGGTTAATCCACATAAGAAAAAAGTGCATTACTGCACTTGTTATAAAACTAATACCGCCAATCATAAATGGTATATTAAAACTTGATGTTACATCTCGAATAGCACCCATTATCTAAATAAAAACAAGAAAACAAAAATCTTAAACAAGAACAACCAGAACTAAATAAACTTACAGGTGGCGCACTTAATGATGTAATACCTCGAAACATCAATGTTAAACCTAAGGCACTACTATAACGTTCAAGACCAACTAATTGACAAACAATTACTGGACTTAAAGAAACATGAAAAGCTAAAAGAAAATAAGAAACAAAAATTTGTCATGATCTTATTTTTAAAAAGTTCTTACCAATAAAAGCACCCCATATAATACAATAAGCTATAAGAAGTCCATGTGTCGCACAAAATGGAACAAGTAACGTTGCTATGCCAGCTACTGTTAAACCAATATTATTGACAAGTAATGGAGTCATATATGGAATTTTTGTTACCCAACCAGATGTAAATCGAACAAATGTATTACTAAAACCTATAAAAACCACAGATAACAAAAGAATTCTTTAATAATTCGAGAAATAAAAAGAAAACTATTTACCAATAATTGATAATAGAAAAACAGCACTTGTTTTAGGAACAGATCTTTCATCTGTTGCTACTTTAACAATAAATAAATACGGTGTATAATAACCGATCATTGAACAGACATTAGCCTTCATAGAACATACGAAAAACAAATTGTCATAATACATAAATATTTTTTGAAAAACTCGTTACCAAACATATGATAACCATTTTTTTGTCATTTAAAACATTAAAATTTGTCATAGAAAGAAATATATCCCAAAATGCTTTCATTGGTGATTTTTCTGTTGTTTCAGGTATTTTAGTTGTTTCTTGAATATAAGTAGGTATGTCTGGTTGAGATTGATATTCAGGTAAATTTCTTGTATCACCTTGATAAAGTACATCTTCCTTATATAAACTATTAATAATAGATTGTACAAAAGAAATAATTAAATAGACAAAATGAACTTACGGACGAACAGCATCTTCCGCTGTAATACTTTGTCTTGATTTAACTGAGACAGTAGAATTAGCTCGTGATGGTTTTCGTAGTATTGTGTCTGTTTCTCCTTCATTTATATTTGGATTTGATTTATGAACTGATGCAGATGTACCAATAGCTTCAGCCTTTTTCGTGTCACTAAGTAAAGGTGACGTAGTCTATGAAGAAATTTAACAAAAAATAAAAAAATAAATAAATTTTATAGTAATTATTTATTCACCGTAGCCGGAAAAATACTTTCGTCATGTCTATAATAACAATAAAAAAAAAAAAGAGAGAAAATATATTTTAATTAAAAATATCTGACGCTGGCATTAAAAAAGAGACTACAACTTTCATTCGTGTAATTAGTATTTTTTTTTGTAATTAAAGAAGAAAAGGCCGTTATCGTACAAAGAAATCCTTGAGGAATATTTTCAACTCAATAAAACATGGAGAGCTATTGATAAACAAATAATATTCTGCCGTCTACATTAATAACAGATCGATACATCGCTTATTAACAAACCATCCGGTCTGAAATAACAATATCCTCTAAAGGATTCTACTCGACAAAATACATCAAACTTACATTTCCTTTGATTGTGATATACGTCTTTTTCGTTGTGGTTTTAAAGGAACCATTAAAGCAGAACAAGCAGCACACAAAAGAACAATAGCAGATAATATTAATAAACCTATTTTCCATCCAAAAAGATTGAATAAAAATCTGGAAAGTGGTCCAAACGTAATCGAACCAATTCCTGTACCAGCAGTAACAATACCTAAAAATGAAAAACTTAACATCAAATAAAGAAAAAAAGAAGAAAAAAACTTTTTTTTTACCAGTAGCTATAGCACGTTTTTCTTCAAAATAATAACCAACCATGACAATACTTGGCAAATAGACAAGACCCATACCAATGCCACCAATAAATCCAAATAATAACCACATTATATATATATTAGGTGAATAGATTGATGCTGCAACAGCTAGTGCAGCAATAAGACTTCCAATTATACCAATTGGACGACATCCAAATTTATTGCATAGAGCAGAAGCTACAGGTGCTATATTACAAAGTTACAAAAAAGAAAACAAAATCTTTTTGTAAATAATAGGTCACATAAGAAAGAAACTAATAGGTACCACTAAGTAAATAAAAACCACAAGCAAGAGATATAACAAGTGATACCGCCCATTCTTGACATTTGTAATATGTTTTTAAATCGTCTGAAATGGCCCCAAACGCATAGAGAAAACCATCAATAATTAAATTAATAAGCTATATAAAGAATATTGTAAAATTTTGTTCTTTTTCTTGTTTAAATTTAGTATAATTACTTACAAAGCAAGCTATAAGAACTATCCAACCAAATCCTCCATCGGGTGGTACTGTTATATAATCATATTCTTCATCATCATCTTCTAGTTTACGTAATTTTCTTTTTTCTGAAGTTGCTTCTGTAGTTTCTGTTTGAAAATTTTTTTCAGTTTTGTTTGCCATTTAAATATTTGCTCTTAGAATACTATTCTCTAATTCGTCATACCATTCAATGGACGATATAACATGGGCGTTTTTTCTTTTCTCTCTTTCTTTCTGCAGTTGAAATTATTACGATATTGATGCTAATGATAACAGTATTGCGATGTTATATGATAATCGACCCTTGTATCTATCATAAATAGAATAAAATGAGAATGAAAAATGTATGCGTTTGTAAGCTGTGAGAAAAATGTATTTTATGCTGTTTTTATTTTTTAATTACAAATGAAATTTGTTGTTATTTTAACAAAGAGAGAGCGATAAAAAAAGAAAAGAAAGAACGAAACATAACTACATTACTATTGATTATGTATAGCAGCTTACAAGGAAAAATATTTCTTGCCGAGTATTGGATATAACAGAGGCAGGCACTTACTTCTTTCTCTGAGCGATGTCGACATTGGGGAGAATCTTTTTTTTTTTCTCGTTCAGACAGAAATGGAAAGAAGAAATGAAGGCAGAATACATTAACACACATATTTATTCTCTAGTAGAAGACTTTTTTCAAACACACTATTTTCCAACAAATTAATATAAAAAAAATATCTTCTTCATAGTATAATTTTCTTTAAATCTTCCTAGAAAATTAGTTGCAAGCTGATTATTACATCGCCGTTTCACATTACATATTATAGACGTCCAACCGATACATTGATGGAAAGAAAGATAATTTTAGTGTATGAATACGCCTTAAGACGTGTACCTGTAGTATAGAGACACGTTTAGTGATGATGAAAAATGGTTCAAAGCGCAAAAAAAAATTACAACCACGTATCTTCAAAATCTCTACTTTTCATCTAATGATAGTATCAAATTTGAATAGAATATTTATAGAAGGATATTATATGACATATTCTCTTCATTTATCTATAGTATGCATATCCTTCAACTTACATATCTCATGATGACGTGCTGCGTGAGTGTTAAAGGTAATCACTGTCATTAAGTGTACGATCAAATAATGACTATAATAAGAAGAAAAAAGGACGGTATTTTTATCCAGCTAAATAAAAACAATAGGTATAAAAGAAATAATGCATTAATATGTCATCTAACAAACATTCGTTGTCAACTATGAATAGATATAGAACCCACACTTAGATTACTTAATGCCAATTTGCTTGTTAGTTATAGGCAAAGACTCAACGTCGGATTTAGTTTTCCTCTCTTTTTTTTCTGGCAATAATAGACATGCAATGTTTCCTGTATTCGTCTTTTCAAATCTTTGCTATCATATTGCATAGGATGTAAATCAATACAAAGCGTTAAATGAAATAAAATTGATTACCCTCTCTTCTTTTTTCTTCTTCTTCAAAATCATACTTATCAAAAATGACAGATAGTATAGTGCGAAAATTAGTTTCCTTTTTACTATTATAGACGTGACAATATAATCAGTTGGGTTTATGTAATATGTTCCTTCTTCTAGGATGCACACAACAGATGGTGTCAATAGAATATATTATGAATTGGTATCAGTTTGATTATTCATACAACTATATAATAGTATTTGTCAATTTAGAATATTAAAAAACCTAGTTTTGTTTGACAAGTGATCAAAAAAAAAAAGAAGAATCGATTACATAAGAAAACTGAAGCAATTGAAGAAATATAAGTTTTAATAAAATGATTCATGAATGCAGGATAATAATAGGTTTTATTTTTGCGTAGACTAGTGAGGAAGTATACTTCGCAAGGTTGTTTTATATGACTCAAGGTTACTTAATTTTAACAAGATGAATTCTTCTTTGTTTCTTTCTACGACAGAAACTATTCACCACATGAAATATATAATTAATATTCCGTCTTTTCTCTGTTGATAAAGGGTGTTTCATAAGTTTCGATCACATTTTTATTCTCATTTTGTCTCGGGATCGTATTTGAGATAGGATAAATATTGAATATATGTATTTGAAGTATAGTACATAAACTACTATTCAAGATCAATTGAACTCAATTCGCATCAACTCAAAGAGAATACTCCATTAGTAAAAATATCGAAAAAAATTTATTGAAGTTGTTCTTTTTCTCGACATGATAGAATGCCATTTACTTCATCATTAGTGAGTCATCTCCGCATGAAAAAAAAATCAAATACCCGAAAATTTTCATTATTGATGAATTCCAGTTAGACCTACCATTCATGAAAATTTCATTCGTTTTGGTACAACCAAAACTGAGTTATTCTTGAACAATATTGATCACTACGAAATCTAAAAAAAATGAAATTGCGTAACCGTCCGTATTTTTCGAGAACAACTCTGCTTAGGTTGTATTAAAACAAATAAAATTTTCATAGATGTTAGATCTATCTGTACCCCATCTATAATGAAAATTTTAAGATATATTTGCTTTTATCTTCATGGAGGTACGACTCACCAAAGACGAAATAAATGAAATTCTGTTATGTCGAAAACAAGCAATTTTAATAAAAACTTTTTTTCGATATTTTTATTAATGTAGTATTTTCTTTTGGTTGATGTGAATTAAGCTCAATTTCTCTTGAATAATAGCTTATGTGCTACTCTTCAAATACGGTCAAGATAAGAAAATGAAAATATGATCGAAACTTATAAGATTCACGACATTCTAAAACTAGAGTTCTGCGAGACAGTCTCGAATTTCGAAAGATCCTTGTTGTCTCATCCTGCAAGATTCTAATAGAACAACATCTTTATGTTTCGTTCGCTCAACAAGACAATTAAAAAGGAACTTGATCTGTATAAAATATAAAATTTCAGTTATGAAAATCTTTCTTATTTGATAAAATTACTTATCAATACTTTTTTTTTTCATTGTGCAACATATAGTTACATTCACAATATTCAAACGTACTTTATTGACTTGTTCGTCTTGTGTAATGATATAAAAAGTTATCTTGAACATAACATTAATAAAACTTAATTTCTTATATGAATGCAAATATTGAACTAGTTTTTTCCTCTCTTTTCCTCCTTCTCATCCTTTATATTTCTTTACTCTTCATTTTCCAAAAAGAAACATACATATATATATATATATAGACAACACTCAAACACATTTGTTCACAGTCAACAACGGAAATCAAATCGAAAAAAAATAAAGTTAACTGATTGAGTATCGACGAAGAAAAAGAAAATAAAAGATATTCAGTAAAATCCATACAACAACAAACAAAAAAAAGAATCTAACGGAAATGAGACAAGAAATGGAAAAATTCTTATGAGACAGGCACCGAAATATACTTTCCAACATACAAATACATACACCTGAGAAGGAGTTAAACATTTATAGATTGACTATAGATAAAGACACACACACACACAAATATAAGGATTACATTTAAAATATAGAAAGTCGTGAGTATATGAAAGAGATTTCACTAAAATTTAATAGAAATAAAATATTTTTTTTTGTTCATAATTAGATGAGAAAATATGACTAGATGACAAAACGACAATATCAAATTCTGTCACACACATTCACATACAAAAACCACTAAATGGACATCGTTCTTTTTCTTGATCAGTCGTACAGATGCAATATATTTGTGGAACATGATGTGAATCCCAATTTCCTAAATAATAAATATATATTAAATAAAAATCTAATAAACAGAATTAAATAAACCTGGACCAGCAAGCACCGATATATCATGAAGACAACAAGGAATACGTTGTAATAATCGAAATTTATAAAGTAGACTTCGGGCCTATTAAAAAAAAACACAAATGAATTTTCATGTTTTTAAATTTTATTCTTCTACCTTCTTCAATACAATTGAACCACTCATATGCATTGCAAGACTATTAAAATGAAGAAGCATATCATCTGTACCAAGATCTTGTTGTACAATATCTTCGCCATATACTGCCATAATACTTATACAAATAAATAAATGAAAATAATCAGTTTGATAATGTGACCAACAGGCTTCCCACATTCGTAAGGCTTCTAAACAGAAGGATGTTACTTTTAACAAAAATTGCTTATGTCAATTTCTCTTCAATCATCAATCTTAGTTCAAGTACATTCGAATCACATAAGATTTTCATCGCTATACCTTGACGTTGTCAAGAGATATTCAACAAATGAATGTCAAAACTAGCTCATTTGACAATCTAAAATTGCCTCCAGGCCTTCATTCTATATAAAATGCTGAAAATTCAAAATTTTAGCAAACATTTATCTTTAATTTATATAGTGATGTTCAATAGGATATTTTGAGTTACCTATGAAGCACTACTTTTCCTGAAAATATTGGAAAAAGACTCAATTCTAAATATTATGATTATAGTTGTCGATTATCACTTTCGAAAACCCTATAAAGGTTATTCTCTGATTTGGTAGACAAAGTTAACCCAAAATACCTTATTTACATAAGGTTTGTTTTTTGTCTATTTTATCTGCAAAAACAGAGAATAACCCTTATAATGTTCTACAAAGTAGAAAAAAAGTGTTTTTTTTACAGGTAGCTCTATATGCTCTATCTTTGTTTTTACATTCTTACTTTGTAAGGACGGAAAATTTCAATATCTCAAAGAAAAAACGGTGTTCTAATTATAAAAGTATTCTATTATATAACGTTAACGAAGCTTAAATCAAAAAAGGAACTCTATCATATCCTGCATCTTGACATGCATTTTCAAACAAGAAAAAAATTATAAAATATATAGAATAAAGACCTACAAAAAAATTATAAATTGCGCGATCAAAACAACGACAGAAAAAGCATATTGTTTTTAAGTAGAAAGTGACGGAAATCATCAAGATCTTTTGGTAAAAAATAAGGTTTCAAATAAAAAGTCATGTTACTTATTTGAAAGCTCACACCTCAGATAATCATCTCATTTTCGATATTTCTGAAGAAAATTGTATTGCTTTGAGGAAAGCTCAAGAGAAAAAGAAATTGCCTATGACATAGCAAATCATCCGATTTATAATATGAATACATATCTCATATATTATAAATCCCATGGGTGTAGTCTAAAATCTCATTAATTATTTAAATTTAGACTGAGGAACGTAATAGTATGTATGTGTTGTGAATCAATCATTTTTTTCCGAACAGTTATATAACAATAAAATGAATGAATAAAAATAAATGTTTGACATTCTTTTCAAGATTTTTAAATATTCAACAACATTACTAATTCTATCGGATTAGTCTAGATTTTTATCTAAATACTTTTCTTTTTATACAAAAGAACAAGATTCTTTCAAGGCTTTTTATTAATTATTTTCTAAAAATAAAGTGTTTGCCAAACATATAAGGCAGTTCATTCGTTAACGACATGATTTTCGCAACATAAAACTGTTTATATTTCTTGACTCTGAAATTTCTTTTAGCTGATTTTTATATAGCTGATGTACAGTGAGTTACTATTGAAAAACTTACGTTATCTCCATCTACAAATACGATAAGTTCAAACAATATTGTTGAAAATAAAATAGCGCATTTTGTAGAGGATTCTTTAGACTACAAAATCTCTCTGTATTGATTTTCTTGAGAGTATTTATATTCTTAAAACAAAATTGAGTTTATTTATTGTTATCGACTTGAGCTGTTACAAATATAGAAACGTAAAACTCTCTTGTAACAAAATGATACAAATGGGTATTGGTAATATATGCTCCGATCCAGTCAGAACGTCGTTTTACTTGAAATATATACCTGCCGCTAGCACTTAACATTCTGGAACAAATATCAAGAAGATAAAAAGCAAAAAACTTTTTAGGGTGATCCATTGTGAGTTGAAATCTAGGAAAAATAAAGTCCAATGTAGCTCTGCTACATATTTTGAATTGACTAGAGTCATCAGGAATTTACCACAACTTCATCTAAGATCTTTTTCCGAACAATTATTTGTTTGAGCTTTTGACTCAGAATGAGGTTCAGTAGATTCCGAATCTTAAGATCTGTTGACTGGTATAATTCCTAAGTAAAACAGCCTTCAGAACATATTTTACTAATACCACATATATATATCCTTATTGAGAATATTGAGATGATAGTAAAACAAAAAATATTGTTCTAGAACATAGGCAGATCTCTGGAAAACAATTTCTTGGAAATCGATCTTACTGAAAAATTCATCAGAGATATAGTTTATAGTGTTGCGTCAATTCTAAAATTTTCTTTATAGATAATTGAAGTCAAGTCGACGCTCGTCATGTCATATTTTCACTGATTTTCCACATATACAAACCTCGTTCAGGAAATTCACGTTTGAAACATAATAGTATCCATCGATGAGCAAAAAGTAAATCGAGACCATCAGATAATTTTGCACAATGTTGATGAAAGCTCGGTAACATTAATAAGAGAAGTTCTCGAAGATATCTCTAGAAAAAAAAAAAAATTATTTTATTACTTAGATGCTTCTCTTGTATATTTCAATAAGATGATATTTACTAATTGTTTTTCCATAACATCATCAGTTGGTGTTGATATAAATATTGTTCGATTCATAAGTCCAACAAAACACCAAAATGCATCCGATTCATTTTGTATGATAGTTAATATTGGTGCTAAAAGATCCGACATACCTTGATTATAACCCATTGTTGGGCAATATGCAGCATAATTCATTAAAATTTCTCTATGAAATATTTAAGAGAAAGAATTTGTAAGAATAAAAGAAAAAGTATTTTGTCTTTTAAAATTTACGTCATTATTCTTAAATTTGGATTATCATCACCTTTAAAATATGGATGTGAACGATCTGTACGTACAACATCTTTTTCAATAATAGCTTCAACATCACGAAAAAATTGAACTTGTTCAGGATCATTTATAGCTGCTTCTCTATTGGAAAAAGAAAAATCGTGAAAATAAAAACAAACTCTATGTATATGTATATTTTTACCGTCGGGCACGAATTTTTTGATAATGTAAATATTTATTGTGTCGAATTTGTTCACGTTGTTCAAATGTTGAATCAAATGGATAAAGATGAAGTAAAAATGGCCATACTTCATGTGTTATAGATGGATCAATACCAGCAAAAAATATTGTCTAAAAATTAAAATTAAATTCTACATTTCTCACATAAAAAATTCGAATAGAGAAAATTTTTTTTAAAAAGGATTGAGAAGGAAATAACATCTTCACAGTATTTCCAAATTCCAGGATCTCTAGAAAACTCGAAAGTCGAAGATGAAAACTTTTCTTTTGGACTACACGGGACAACCGAGAAACCAATTCTCTACAAAATGATATGTCTACGAGCTCTCCACAGCATTTTTTTACTGAATTACATTATTTTTAAGAGAAACTCAAAAGTCATTTATGTTCGGTTGTCGTTTAAGAAGTGACAGAAAAACCATTTTTTGTGCAAATCTTAATATCATCAAAAAATTTCGTGAAGAACTCGAAAGTATTTCATTTTGTAGAGAAGCAGTTGTCCTATTACTCTTTATAATCAAAGGAAACTTTTATTATCAGATTCGGATGCTAGAAAACTAAATTTGGGAATTTTTTATACGAGTTACTATTACAAAAAAATCAAAATTAAATCTATATCATCAATTTTTAGATCTACTGTAATAGGTTACAAATTTTTAGCATAAATTTGTCTTGAAATTTTATTCACGGTTGTTTTAATAATTCAAGTACAATAGAACTTTTTTATGCGAGCATCTTCTTATACTGTGCAGTCCTTAGTCCATCCATGCGAATATCGCCTAGAATAAGTTTCCTAAATATAGAAATGCATCAATTCTTAGAGCATGATGTCAAAGATGACACTTTTTTCCTTATTAAGAATGTAGTTCCTGTGAATTGCTTGCATCAATCATGATCAGGTTTTGTGTTTTATTCGAAATTGTAGTTGAAATAGGAAAGAAATATTTCGGAATTGTTCGAAAATTTGAATTTCTTAGTTTTATTGACTTATTCCAACTAACTTTGAGGTCTGTGTTTTTTNGTAGAGAAGCAGTTGTCCTATTACTCTTTATAATCAAAGGAAACTTTTATTATCAGATTCGGATGCTAGAAAACTAAATTTGGGAATTTTTTATACGAGTTACTATTACAAAAAAATCAAAGTTAAATCTATATCATCAATTTTTAGATCTACTGTAATAGGTTACAAATTTTTAGCATAAATTTGTCTTGAAATTTTTTTCGCGTTTGTTTTAATAATTCAAGTACAATAGAACTTTTTTATGCGAGCATCTTTTTATACGGTGCAGTCCTTAGTCCATTCATGCGAATATCGCCTAGAATAAGTTTCCTAAATATAGAAATGCATCAATTCTTAGAGCATGATGTCAAAGATGACACTTTTTTCCTTATTAAGAATGTAGTTCCTGTGAATTGCTTGCATCAATCATGATCAGGTTTTGTGTTTTATTCGAGATTGTAGTTGAAATAGGAAAGAAATATTTCGGAATTGTTCGAAAATTTGAATTTCTTAGTTTTATTGACTTATTCCAACTAACTTTGAGGTCTGTTTTTTTTGCATTAGACAAAATATAAGAATAGCAGCTTTAGATCAAGAATGATCCCAACTGACATGAAGAACCGCCAGGAGTCGAATAATTATCAATGCTGGAAATATTTTAATTTCTGATTAGAAATTCAAGATATTGCTTTATCTCTGCTTACAAAAGCATATGCCCTTTATTGGTAATTATCGGACACCTAACGATTTTTCATCTCAGCTATGATCAATCTCGATCCGAAGCTATTTTCTTAGACTTTGTCTAATTCAAAATATTAGTCTCAAAACCAGTTGGAACTGATAAAAAAATACGAATTTCCGACCGATGCTGGAATATTTGTGTCCTATTTCATCCATTGACGACTACAACTTCGGATAGAGAAAAAAGTTGATTATGATTGATATGGACAATCCACAAGAACCACATTTTTAATAAGGAAACGTGCCATCTTTGACATCGTGCTCTAAGGATTGACGCATCTCTACTCAAATATGAGCACATCGTTATTCTCAACAGTAGACATCTATTTCTGGTCCCATGAGCAATAAGCATTTTTGCAATATACACAACATGTTTTATCACTTATCGCAAAACGATAGAAAATATGCCGCTATGTGTATTGCGTTGTGATAAACAGTTATAGGAAGATGGAATGAACTACATGTGCATATTTCAAAGAAAAAAAACAAAAGCAAACAATGCTTGCTGAAACATCGAGTCGTTTTTAGTGTTAACATCCAGTAACATGAAACCATGTCAACATGTGCTGATTTGCTTTTGATAAAAAAACTTGAATCAATTAATTTTTGGAAAGATGATCACCTTAAACAGTTGGCAAGTGATTGCAATTGAATACTTATAGGTTACAAAACAAAAAACTGAAAACTTCTCAATAGTGAGCACTTGGTTGACCTCGATGGCGAAGTTTCACTGTATTTTTCATATTTATTTATGTTCTAAAAACTTAAAACGTATGCCAAAAGAAAATTTCTATCAGAAAATTACATTGATCATCTAAAATCCCTTAAATCTAATTTTATCATTGATTTTTTCATGTACTAAAACTTTAATAATATAAATTACTTGTAAGATTATTCAAGTAAAATGACATATTGTCATTATTTATATTCTGCATCAATAGTTTTATTCGAGACAATAAAAATAAAAAGGGCATTTACTTTTCTTAATTGATGATTATCTTCAATTTGTCCATTTGAATTCATATATGTTCTCCAATTATCTATTGTTATTAAATGATAACAACCTTCTTCTGGATGTAAATCACTTGAATCAATTGTTGGACGAACAACATTGAACTGATAACAATTAGCAAAACCTCGACGAGTTTTTTCATAAGCAAATAAATTCCATTCATTTAAAATTTCAATTAAACGATCAAGACCACCATTATGAAAATGTAAAACTTTATATTGAGATTCACATGATGCTATAACTAATTGTCCACTACCACTTGCCATTGTTGCTACATCATCACAATAAAATAAACGTAATGAACGCATTTTACCAAGATCAACAGAAAATACACCACAATATCGGTCAGCGACATTTCGTATAGTATCATCTTCTTCAATAATTGATGAATTTTCCTTACCAATATTTGTAGCATTTTTCCATGAATCTGTTTCTTTCATAAATGGTAAACTATCATCAATAACACGATTTAATGACTGATCATTTGTTTCGATATTTTCGAATGCTTCATCATCTGGTTCATCAAGAATTTCATCAGGTCCTTCAGTTAAATCTGATGTTATTGAATCTTGTCTCATATAAGATTTATCATCTAAAGCATCTTCATATTGATCATCAGATGAATTACGACGATCATTTGAATTTTCTTGTTCAATTGGTGACAATAATAGATTTGAATTTGTTGTATGATAACCGCTATCAATTGTTTGTGATAATGAACGACGTGGTGTTGATGTTGGTGGTTGATCGTCATTTGTATTTATTGATGGTGACGATATTTCATCTGACATAGATGATTGTTCTGATGTATTTGAACGACTTTTTAATGTAGAATTTGGTATCCATGTTAATATTAATGTTGAACCACTTTGTGGATTATTTTGACATTTAATACATAAATAACCAGGATGATGAAGTGTATATGAATGTAAACGTGATGGAGGATGAACACAAATATTATTTTTCGAAAATATAATTTCACCATCTAATGGTGGACATTTATTTTTTATTAATGATGCTGTTGTTGTTGGTACACCTATTGAACTTGCACGTTGTGTTAAAAGATTTGATGCACGACGAATAATTGATGTAACGGAATGTTTTGATGATGATATTTGATTATTTCGTGGTGTTGAAGGAACTGATGAGATTTTCTTATACAAACTCGACATGATTATAATAGAAATTCTAGAAAAGAAAAAATAATAATAATAAAGAAAAAAAACTATTATTCATAATGAAATAGAAGTTGAGAAGAAGACTTATTTCCGCTTGTTTTTATTGTATGAAAAAGTATATGATGTGATATAATTTTCTTAATAAAAAATAAATATGAAACTAGTGTCATCTTTCGGATGCGAAAAAGAATATATTTTTTTCATTTATTAGAATTAAATTTTAACAAAGTTTATTAATAAAAAAATTATCAAATAAAATTCGACTTGGAATCACCAAGATAAATATTCGATAGCTAGTTGCTTGCTTTTGACACTTCTATTTAGTAAACAATTCGTTTTTTATTAACCAATCCATGACTGTCCTCCAAGTGCTCATGCTCATGTAATAATTGAAGAACGAAATAATACATTAAACCAAATTCAATTCAAAATTAATAATTCGAAAGTTTCTCTTATTCCACATGAATAATTATTTCTTTTTCTTTGAATATATTAAGAAATTAGTTGTAATTGCTGATTTCCGTGTTTAATATGCCATCGCATGTTGTAAGTTTGTTTGTATTATCGTCGGTGTATCAGCTGTAAATTGTCGATGAAAGAACTATTACCAGCATATCACAGTAGAATAGCGGATAGAGGATACTCGACCGCGTTTAAGTATTAAGCTACTACCGATAATTTGATAGTTTTCTGTCACTACCAACAAATGTCATTGGTATAGCACACGTTGTACCCAATGGCTTACTGCTGTTTTTTTTCCCGTTTCCATAACACGAGACATAAATTTTGTTTTTTAATTGAACACATGAGTTTTTTTTTTTAAATCAAGGTTTTATCTTATCGACTAGCTCTATACAAAAGAGCCGGTTTTGATAGAATTGATGTTTTCAATGTTACAGTGAATACCAGTGTTATCAATACCCTAGTGAATCCTATATCAGTGACTCATTGCCAATATTTACATCAACACTAAACATCTCTAATGAGATTCTAATGAATAGTAAGACTTAGTTAGATTAAAAACTCTGCTTCAAGTTCATTGTTTAGTGTTTATCAGCATTACATGTGCAAAAATGGTACATAGTGAGTTACGTATACTTACCATAGAATAGTTATTGCATAGAGTAAAAAAAAAAGAAACTTTAATACAGTCTTTGCATACAATAAAAATACAAAAAAAAAATATGCTTACTGAAAACTGTCTTATGGCATAGTACTATGAATAGAACTATTAATCATTGGCTTTATTTACTAATGTAAGACTGAATAGGATGAAAATTACATTAGGAATAATAGACAATATGAAATGCGATCGATATTAAAATTTTTTATTCATTTGTCGTCAAAAAAGATATGAGTACTACATTTTTGATAAATTAAGCATAATTTTTCACTAGACTCAAGAATGATAATTGACTATCAGTTAAATTTTAATAGACAAATAAAAAAAGAAGTTTCCATATATATATAGAAGAAAAAAATGAATGAACCTGTCTTGTTTTCATGATTTTCACCGAGAACGATAATTAAACACTGTAGAAATAAAATATAAACTACAATTTGTTTATAGTCATATGTTAACTGCTTAGAATTAACTATATTATGGTATTCAGTCAAGTTGTGATAAAAATGATGAATTCAGTTTTTGCAATGTTTTATTGTTCAGAAGATCGCAAAGTATCTAGATTTGACTTCAATCAAATATGAACAATTTTATGATACGGTCATTTACGAAATAATAGCGAGTCTCATAAATTTTGTATAAAACTTTTAAAAGCATTAGCCTATTCTCATAGTAGTAGTAGTTCTATGGAAACAAGAAGAAAAGTGACTATTTCTTGAAGAAGAAAAAATTTCATTTATTGCATAATTTTTACTTAGATGCTAATCTATTCTTTATCTATACAAATATTTTGAAATTTCGTTATTTTCTAGAAAACAGTTCTTTATTGATTAAAAACAATCAATAATGTCATCGAATCATACACAAACAAATAATGATGATGTTGCAATTCTTGATGTAACATCAGATAATAATGATGATCAAAGTCCATTATTAAGTGATAATACTCAGCAAAATAATTCCATTTTATTAACACCTAATGGTGATACTATTCTTGTTCCATCGATATCTCGTTATCGTTTAACAAATATTCTTCGTATTATTCTTTTTATTGAATTTCTTACATTACTTACCATTTGGCTAGTAGGTAATGAATGTTTTTTTTTCTTTTGTTTTGATATTTAATTTATAAAAACTTTTAATTGAACAGGTAGTAACACACATTCTCTTATTGATGATATAATTCATTATCAATTCACAACATCTATATTTGATATTGTTTGTGTATCACTTTGTAAACTTATTTTATTAATTATTCTTCTAACAGAATTAGAAACATCAGTTATTGTTCGTTTATATACACCAAATTCTCCTCGATCATTTATTTTTATACGTTATGTATATACAATTATACTTATTATTCTATCAAGTTGTTCATTAGCATTTTCAATTATAAAATTAATATTTATTTTATATAAATTAAATTTAAATAAACTTTATTTATCATCAATTTATTTATTTCTTATATTTTCATCAATAGAATTTATTGGTACGTTATTAATGGTACCATATTTAACACGAATAAAATTACTTGGACAACAACTATCAAATTCAAAAACAAAAAAAGTTGATTTAAAACGTCTATTATCATTAGCAAAATCAGAACGTTTATTACTAAGTATAGCAGTATGCTTTTTATTAGTATCAAGTGCAACACAAGTTATTCAACCATATTTTTTTGGACAAATTATTGATGATGCGTTAAAATCGGATACAATGCGTTTAGTCAATATGAATGTTCTTATTTTATTTGGTATTAATTGTGTAGGTGCAATAGGATCATCATTTCGTTCTTGGTTATTTGAATTAGCTGGACAGTAGGTTTAGAAATTTATATAATTTAAAATAAGATGTTTGCTTTTTAGGAGAATTGTTTATCGTCTTCGTCAAAATATATTTGTTTCAATAATAAAACAAGAAATTGGCTTTTTTGATAATACTCGTACCGGTGAATTAACAAATCGTTTATCAAATGATACACAAGTATTACAAAATGCTGTTACTATTAATATATCAATGCTTGTTCGTTTTTTGTTACAAATTATTGGTAGTCTTGCTGTTATGTTTTATTTGGAAGTAACATTAACACTTGTTTTAATGGGTGTTGTACCAGTTATTATTCTTATTTCAAGACAGTATGGTTCTATTGTACAAAAATTACGAAAAAAATTTCAAGATGAATTAGCTGCAGCTGGATCAACAGCTGAAGAGTCAATATCGAATATTCGTAAGAACTCTATCTTGTAGAACATTAGCGCCTCTCTTGTTTTTTTTGGTCACTGACAGGTGATATCCTCATTAAGTGCGTCTTGTTATCAAGAATATACAGTGCCAATAATATAGTTGAAATCTTTACTACCCTTCTCAGAATAAGAGAAAAGTTAGGGTTCTAGTTTCTCTGTAAGCTACTCTTGGTAAGCACGCAGAACAGGAAAAAGTTGTATATTTAAACGAATCAATATCAAGTGCACTATTTGTGACGCCCACTCAAGTTTTGAAATGGGCCGAATATGAAATTGATAGTAGCCGATAAAGAAAAACTTACTCTATCGAACTGTACTTTTAGGTTTTTTCAAAAAGATGTCTATACCTCGAAACAATCGATACAATCTAACCAATCAAAACATCGATCGTCTAAAATAGGTTTTTCTTGCAAATTCGACTAAGGCCGAAAATAGTATTCATACTAATCGATAGAGAAAATTATTCTCTATTAGACTACACTTCCAGGTTTTCTTGAAAAAATGTCTATATGTCGAAATAATCGACACAAACTGACCAATCAAAACACATTTACACTTTTCTTTTGATAACGAATCGATGATTCATCGTCATTTGCCGGTAGACTATCTACCTACTGGTCATTTGTATCTTGTATATTACAGTACACGTAGTAACGGTGTCATCTGCTACTGCCCAAGCAAAACAAGGGGGGGGGGGGGGGCGCTAGTGTTCCGACTACACTACTACTTCAATGTAGGATAAGTCTTCAATGAAATATATCCATCTGGAAAAAGTCACTATCTTCTCAATTAGCTTTTTATATTTATCAATCTCTGCAGATAATATAGTTCTCTAAAAGAATAATTACATATTATGATAGAGCTTGAAATTCTATATATTTATTGATTGTTTTGCTTTTGTTTGTTGCCAAAAAAAAGTTATGTAGTTAGGATCAACTTTCACTTAACTAATACCAAGCATTTGCATTTTTTCGTTACTTTCTTTTTCCTTTCAAGTTTTTTTTTCAGAAGAATAAGTGCAACAGCTGAGCACCAAATTTTACTACAAAGTTTTGGAAAAGTGCAGAAGGTCAAAAGATGCTGAGAGTTCTTAACCTGCAGTTTTCCTCTTGCCTATTTCTTAGGATTCTGTTTAAGTTTTTTCATTTAACATTACACTTGAAATCGAATGATTCAGTGATTTAACGTGAGGTAAAAGCAGCTTTTGTTTCTACAAATTTTTATCGAATGTTTTCAGGGTTTGAGGAATCTGTTTTCCTACAGTATTTGTTTAGAAGATCAGGTTTCAACGTGGAGTTCTATTACTTAGCTGAAGGAATCATGCATTAAATCCTGAAACGTAGGGAAATGGATTACTTGGCCCTGAAAGCACATAATCAAACTTCAAACACAATCGTTATTTTCGAAAAATGGTCTTTCTATTAAAAAAAACATTATCAAAATAAAATGATATGTACCTCATGCTAATCACTTATCCGCTTTCAAGTGAAGCGTTAAATAAAATTAACTTAACACTTTATGGCATGTATTACGTGATTCGTTGATACGTAATATAACCGAACTAACAAGTAACTGCTGATTTTTTCTTATTAATATTAATGGTTAATGACATCATCTAAGATTAATTTTAACTAAGTTGCGTTGAAAAGAATGATCTAGCTTAAGCACCATCACCAAATAACCCTTGAGAAGTTATAGAGATCATTTATAAATAAGCCGGAAAAAGTTTTAGGAACTATATGCCTAGGTAGCCATTGAAAATTGATATATATGTGTATTACTTTTCAAAATGATCACTTATGAAAAGCACTCCTTATTAGAGTTAAATATTTAATATCGCAGAAAATCAAAGATGAACAAAATACGTTAGTCTTTTATTTTCGACTATTACTGTAAATCTTTATGTTAAAATCGGATAGTTTTTTTTTGTGATAAATCATTATTCATGTGCTCTAATTTGATAATAATAATGTTTTCTTTTTTATCATTTTATTTTTCAGGAACTGTACGTATATTTGGTGCAGAACGTAAAACTAGTAATCATTATCTTGACAATTTATTAAAATCATATGCAGTTGGAAAAAAATTAGCATGGAACAGTGGTGTCTTTATGGGTGTAGTTAGTTTATTAGTAGCTGGAGGTATTTCAATTGTATTATGGTAAGAAGATAAAGAAGATAGATTTTTGTTGTAAATAAAACTTGTTCCTTTTTTTTTTTTTCTTTTTTTTTATTGGTATGGAGCAAAATTAGTTCATGATAAAAAATTATCTACTGGTCTTCTGACATCATTTTTAATGTATATGATACAAGTAGCAGTTTCATTTGGTTTTCTAGCATCATTATTTACTGGTATTTCGATATTTAAAATTGTATCTATTATGATTTGAAGATTTTCTTTTTCCGTTTGTTTTTCATTGAAGATTTTATGCAAGCTGTTGGTGCTAGTGAACGTATATTTGATTTATTGGATCGTCAACCAGAAATTCCTGCGACACCAAATCCGAATTGTTCTATTAAACCAATTGATTTTGATGGACATATTCGTCTGGAAAATATTTGCTTTACATATCCAGCACGATCAGATCAACAAGTTCTTCATAATATAACATTTGAAATAAAACCAGGACAAAAAGTTGCATTAGTTGGACCATCTGGTGGTGGTAAAAGTACAATAGCTTCACTTATTGAACGATTTTATGATCCACAATCAGGAACAATTTATTTTGGTTCACAACCATTAAATTCTATTGATCCACAATGGTTACGTGAAAATGTTTCATTTGTTAATCAAGAACCATCATTATTTGCTTGTTCAATACGTGATAATATAACATTTGGTCTTGATACAGATAATGTATCATTTGATGACATACAATCAGTTGCTAAACAAGCAAATGCACATGATTTTATTGAAGATTTTGAAAATAAATATGATACATTAGTTGGTGAACGTGGTATTCGTCTATCAGGTGGACAACGACAACGAATAGCAAGTAAATAGAAAAAAAAAATTATTATTAGTTTTTTTTTCTATTGAAAATTTCAAATAAGAAAAAAACAATTCTTTTGGTTCTTTTTTTTCAGTTGCACGAGCTTTATTAATGAGTCCAAAATTATTATTACTCGATGAAGCAACAAGTGCACTTGATGCTGAAAGTGAACATTTAGTACAAGAAGCTATTGAACGAGCAATGATTAATCGTACAGTTTTAGTTATTGCTCATCGTTTATCAACTGTACGTAATGCTGATTTAGTTATTGTTATCAATCATGGTACCATTGTTGAACAAGTAAAAAAGAACAAAAGTTTTTGTATTTATAAGTTTTTTTATATTTAAAGGGTGTTCATGATGATCTTATTACAAAAGAAGATGGCATCTATAAAAAATTGGTTCTTCGTCAACTTATGGCGGGAAATAGTTCTATAACTACTGAATAGTATCCAGTTATCAATGATGAAATTATTGTGAATCATTCTTCTTTTTTTGCCTTGTACATAAAACATAAAAATTATGCTTGATTCTAATTTATGCAGATATATAGTGTATCCCAAATAGTGATTTATGTAGAGAATTTTTTGTTTTTGAAGATGAGAATAATTGTTAGTTTTCCGAAGATAGGATCTCTGAAAAACGAAAAAAAAGCAAGTTTTCTATATCCTGAAATGCTATTTAAATTATTTTGAATGATAGAGTAAACAATTCTCTGCATATTAAAACATCTTTTAACTATCTATGATGTTTTTTTCATCGAGATAGATTAATCTTACGACAGATACTAAAGTCGTTTTCTTTCTGCTATTTCATAGAGAAATATCGTTTGAATAGATTTCATAAGAATGATATATCTCCATGAAGAAACACCGTAGAGAGCTGGAGAACGCTTTATTTCGTAGAGAATTGTTTTATTCTATCATTCTAAGTAATTTAAACAGAACTCCATGAAATGAAAAACTTGAGCTTCAATTTTTCGGAAACCGCATCCTTAAAAACCTAACAATCATTTTCATCTTGAAAGATTTTTTACTACATTCTTGAATATTATTGGTTTGTAGAGCATTCTCTAGTTAACCTTATGACTTAGGATTATTTCTTTTTTTATCTGTTTCATACTATAGCAGCAACATTAAAATCATGAGTATAACCTAGTATTTAATGGTATGTCGCAGTCTAAATGTAAACTAGAGAATGCGATGAATGAAGCCATACAATGTCCTACCAATAACTAGAATTCAAGAATGTAATAAAATTAAAAAACTTAAACCATCGTATTAGCATTGGAGATGTCCCGAGCGGCCGGTGACCTCTAGAGTCCTATCGAGTCAAAATAGTTGATTCCATCTCTGAACATTTTCGCTCCTGCAACTCCGATTCAGACTCAAGGGGAAACAAACTGATTTATTGATCTCTTTGATTTCTATCACTGGAAATTAGTTTTTATTTGTTTACCGCGAATAAATTGACTTTATCTTAAATCTTATTATTGGAGATTTTCCGTGATTTAAAATGATTTCTACCATAGAAATCAGTTTGTTCCCTCTTGATCCGACTTCGAGAAACTCCAAATTTTTTTTTTCGATTGGCACTTATATATAGTTCTTTTTGTCTTACTTGTTAATGAGAATGTCTGTTTGATGATTTTTTTTCTTGAAACGTATTTATGAATGTATAGAGCAATGTATTTTTGTTTATTACTTAACATATGAAGAATAACGTTGCTATTCTGAAAGAGTAAAAATACTCGATTTTTTTTACTGATGTAATTTCGATATTGACTCGCAAGAAATTTCTTAACGATCGTTCTCACCCAGTCGCAGTTCAATGCTGGACTCTAGTGACTCGTTTCAATGTTGAAAAATGTTTCGTTTTTTTCTATCGGAGCTTCGGCATTTTATTGTTGATCTTTTGAGTTCGCGACCTCGGGACATCCCTTTTGTATATCCATTGGAATTCTCTTTTTTTTTTGTATTATGAGCATCTACTCTAATACTTAATAAATATATCTGCATAACTTTCCCTCGAAGCTATATTTTCTGTCTCAAAGCAATTCGCAATACTTTCATCGTTAATAATTTTATCAGTGATTGAACAATTGTCTTTCATACGAGTTTTATTCATTTTTACAGAAAAAATAATATAGCTTTTTTTTATAGAATTCAATATATTTTATTTTTTGTATTCCTTTGTATGTGTTTTCATTCGAGCATAATTCTTTTCTTTCTTTTTAGATGGCAGGATTATTTGACGATTGTCTTCCGTTATCGTATTATTATGAAAAGCTAAATTTGGATAGATTCGATGTAAAAGAAAATCGAAATACAATTGCATCCATCATTGCCGGATCATTGGTTTGTGTTAGACTTTGTTTTCTTTTTTTATATAATAAAGATTTGATTTTTTAAGTTTGAAAATTTATGAAATGTTTTATGTTTTAGAGAGCCTTCCCTTTTCGAATGTTAAAATCACATTTTTTTTTCGATTTTCAGTATAGCTTTGAAGTGTCCTCTGTCAAATGCTATATAAAAAAAAGGTTCTTCGTTATTAATTAGCACTTTTATTAAATCCAACTCTCGAAAAAAATTCGCATTGCTATTATTCTTTGTATTTAAAATTCTTCTACTGATTATTTCTAAACGAAATGAGAAGATAAATCATAGACCTGCAACATCACTGAACATGATCAGCAGTTGGAGAAAAAATTCCTGGTGCATAAAGAAAAGTTCGTTTTTTTTGTTTCGTTTTTCTCGAAACCAATTTTCACACAAAAAGAAGTGCAGAATCGCTCTCCTTTCTCCGACATATTTGAAACGGTTTTATTGAACACTGGTTGGAATGGCTAGTGTTTTTTTGTTTTAAAAAATATCGCATCGTTAATTTTTGGCAGGTTTTACAAAAAACGAACGTTAGCAAAAGAAAACATATTTTTCTGGAAGTGCAGTGAATATGTTGCTCTTTTTTATTCCAATAAAAAGAGATAAAAATAAAGAAAGAAAAAGTTGTCTAATGTCTTTAAAAAGAAATTCAAGTTCTATTGCACTTATTTCGGTTGAGAAAGCGGTGCGTTTTTGAGCCTTTGTAACTCAGATATTTCCTGGATGGAGGTATTTTGAACTTTGGAGTCTATGATAACTTTTGGTCTACTCATTGAGATCTATCTATCCCGAAAGTTGCAAATATTTCTGATGAGTTATTCTTTAAAAACTCGAGAAAAGGTAGTCTTGTTAAGTGCAAATGAAATTAATATGCAAAAATGGAACTTAAGACAATTTATTTTAGTTTTCTGCTGGTTGGTGGCTGATTATTGATGTTGCTGTACGTTATCCATCAAATGATCAATTTCACAAGGCTCTTCTTACTATTGGAATAGTAGCATCACTTGCTTTAATCTTGTAAATTTATTTTCTTTTTTGTTTTGTTTTGTCATTTTCTTTTATTATTAATTTTAATATTATTTAAGTGTTAATTCAATATCAAATTCACGTTTTCGGGGTGATTATTATCGTGATGGATGTGTTGGTTTAGTACTGGCACGAGTAATACTTTTTCTTTCATTTTTATTTGTGTTCGGTAGTGTTATTGCTGGCGCATGGATTATGATTGCTTTATATCTTATACCAAATGCAGAACATGTATATCCAGGTGTAGCACTTTTTCTTCAAAGTTTACTTATTTTTGCAAGGTAGCTTTCCGTTTTTACTGGAATTTAATAGAGAAAAAAATCAATTCATCTATTTTTTATTTTATACTTTAGCACACTTGTACTCAAATTTGGACGATCGGAAGAGGAATAGATAGTTTGTTTCATAGTTTTAAAGTTTTATGATAACTGAGAGCTTTTTTTCTGCTTTTCGTCATGACTTAGTTATGTGCATTTCATTTTGTATTCAATTTTTTTTGCTCTTCTTGATGTAATTTCAAATAAAAAGAAAAATGATGTCTAAAATTTTTATTATATTCATAGAACAATCAAATTATCTATTTAATAACATAGAATTATTAATGATTTATGCTCTATTGATGCCAAAGTCATAATTATGTTGATCCTTATTATTGACATTAGTATGATATTTTGAACAAAGCTAATAGAATCATGAGATTCTCTATGTGAGACTTACGTCATACAAAGAATGAATCGGACGAAAAAGTTCTGTTCAGGTATATATTAATTAAATACTAAAATACGATATTCATTGTGGTTGGCTAAACTTATATCGTTAACAGAAGTGTACGAGACTACGAGAAAAAAATTTGCCGGAACCGGAACTCAAGTTTATAGTCAAATATTCTACAGTTTTAAACGAGTTGTCTTATTAGTTATGAATTAGAACATAGTTCAAGAGAGATGACCCAAAAAAGGTACTAGCTGTCAACTAAATAAATAAAAAAGACAAGTATTGAAGAATTTTTTTGACATGTGATATGAATCAATTCTAGAATAGTTTTCTCTAGATCAGAACCGAAAACTGGGCTCCGCACATTTCTAATCACTAACGAACAATTGAATTGATTTTTTCATCAATTATTTGCTATTCTCTAAGGAATTTAAGTTCAATTTGGTGATTGAAGTGATGTGACAACGAACAGGCTTTATACGCAGTCTTGAATACTAAAGTTTTGTTTCTGGAAAAAACGTAAAATTTATCATATGTCACCGAGAGATCACATAAGTAATAAACATCTTAACTTCTTCAAAAGTAAAAATATGAAATGAATATTGTGTAATTCAAGACATGTTAACAATGAATTATTTAAATAGAATTTCTTCACTTATTGCTTAAATTGAAATAAAGACAATCGGCTTATACTATGTCCCCAAAGTCATTTATTTAACGAATAATTTAAGCTAGCTCTCCTTCCCTAATTTGATGACTCCAATTTAATAGTATGTAGTTCGATTTATGAAGTTAAAATAATATGAATAATAAATAATTCCACTGAGTTTTATTCACTGAAATATTGACAATGTTAACATTTCAAACTTTACATTGAGAACTTCCCGTGGTCAAATTATTGTTTATTGAATGATTCTTAATCATTCAATTGGTTATTACCGTTCGTTAAACAAAGTTTCTTCTCTATCATTTTTATAAAGCATTGTTGTCATAGTCATAGTATCTACGAAGAATATAGGAACTATTATAGTCTAATGAAACTTTGTTTCAATCATTTGTTGCTATTGATAAACAATCCTTTGTGATATGTGAAATATTTTTACAATAGTGCAACACATCATTGACAAAGAGAGATAAGTTTATGTTAAAAATTCTTGTTCTACTAACGACTATTGAATATGTAACAAAAGAAAGTAATAATTAATACTGATACTCTTCTTTATTTATATAGAAGAAGACAGATGTCCTTCGTAACATTTACATCCGTCAACTGACGATCTTAATAGCATTTGGTAGAGTAAGAAAACATCTGGCAATTAGTGAATTTA